CATGTGTGTGTGAAGTTTGAACTTGATCAATCCAGACATGTTTTGGATACGGATCCAGAACTGAATTCTTTAAAACAAAATGGCCGCCAGTCGGCCATTTCGAACTTGTTCCGAAAAAAAAAAAAAAAGACGTGCATCAAGGTCCTATTATGTTTAATGTATGTACCAAATTTGAACAAAATCGATCCATGCATAACTGAGATACGGGTCCGGAATGGTGAAAATGTGCGATTTCAATGCATTTTCGGCCTTAAAGCGGCCCCCATTTGGATATCGTTAATGAGATCATGAAACAAATGCACATACATATTTGTGGCATGATGTACCATGTGTGTGTGAAGTTTGAACTTGATCAATCCAGACATGTCTTGGATACGGATCCAGAACTGAATTCTTTAAAACAAAATGGCCGCCAGACAGCCATTTCGAACTTGATCCGAAAAAAAAATGACGTGCATCAAGGTCCTATTATGTTTATTGTACCAAATTTGAATGAAATCCGTCCATGCATAACTGAGATCCGGGTCCGGAATGGTGAAAATGTGCGATTTTGATGCATTTTCGGCCTTAAAATGGCCGCTATTCGGCTATCGTTAATCGGATCATGAAAAAAATGCATGTGCATATGTCCCATATAATGTGTGATGTATGAGTGAAGTTTGAACTTAATCGGTCCATGCATGTTCGAGATACAGGTGATCACGGACGGACGCACGGACGCATGGACGCTCGGACGCACACAGGGCAAAACATAGAATGTCATGTAAGTTGGTTAAAATGTAGATTTTCTGAAGGGAAGCAAGGCAGCCTCAGTAGTGTTTTCCAAAATCAACAACACAGGTTTAATCTGTGTGCCTATAAGTTTCAAAGATAAACTCAAGACAAAGCAATGTTAGGATTTGTTATCAGTAGCTATCTGACACACAATGAGTGTTTCCAAACATTTGAGTGGTTTGTCTCCGCCCCTGTTTATTTCACAGATTAGCATTTGCATATGAATGTGTCAGACACAAGGTCACAAAGCCACTGAAAAAAAATCATTGATTTTGGTGTTTTCATCTGCCGATTTTATCGAATTATAGCTACCCCATTCCTTTATTTTTTGGTTTCCAATAGCCTTATACATTTGAATGCCCCTACAACATGTTAAAACAGACCTTGATGTGAAAACAAATCGCTTGTGCCGATAAACAAGCTTGAAAATCTTTGCTGTGACTTCATCAACGATTTCGTCGGATTAACACCAAATTTTCACAGCTCTAAGGTGACAATGAGAGGAACTTGAATGTGTCTAGACAAACTATTTCATGGATTATTTACCAATGTGTTGTGGTTTGAGTTGGGGGCAATGCGACTAAAACAGAAATTAAAATTCAGGACACTACTTTTCAAAACGCGTTGCTTGAATAAAACTGACCAGACACATTCAATTTACCAGACTATTGAACAACTAGGAAAATTGAAAAAAAAACTTCTTATCACCAGCATAAATGCGTAATTATTTTTTTTACAAAAAAAGTAATTTTTCACTTTTGATTAAGTAACGCAGCATATAATGCAGATACGGGCATGACAAACACGCCTTTGTAAAGCTTGAAGTCTGGCGATTCTAAAAATATATACTTTCCTGGGTCTATTTGTAGTCATTTGGTCACAATTAGAAGATGAAAACAAGCATGCAAATAATAGTCCCGCTACCTTAATTTGTTTCTGAAATTTACGAAATCCTATTTAAATTAACAAAATTATTGCGAATCATTATATTAACTCCCAAAACTACATCATTTTAAATTAATATTAAAGCACATTTCAGTGGTCAAAATGATATGCATTTCATATTGAAATGCTTTTTTAATATAAAATGTAACGCATGTTTTATTATTGACTATTACAATAATCAAAAGTATACGAAGTACAATCTTGACATGTGAAGTTGTTATGCAAAAGTGCATAAATTTACCAATTTACATTGATTGTGTTAAAAAGACTAAAACCAAAAGTCTTAAAAACAGTTTATGACGCACATATAGTTTAATAATGTTTACTGTTAATTGTAACCAGTCATAATGTAAAAATGTGTACGACCCTGAGAGTATACCACGTATTGTAAATTGTCATTTGTTTGAATGAAGAAAATAACATTTTTCATATAGTACTAGTTGTATCATTCATACAATAGGTTTCTCAAATAAACATTGTCAATGGTTGTCTATATCTGAACCAGCCAGAATTAATGCATACATCAATGTTTTTTTATTAGTACCTACATACAGGTCTTCACAATTAGCATAATTACACATCACCCGATAACTCAGACCCCTACATTTTATTATGTAGCCTCCTCAAATTGTTCACACACATATACAACTTTGTAACCTACATAATTGCGTCTGCGTACAATTGGAACATGTATAGTGAAGTACCGCCAGGCTGTAGCACAAAGGCTGGGGCAAAAACTTCTCTACAACAGGGGGGAAAGAAGAAAAGAAAGGGGGAAGTATTGTGATTGCTGGTGGTGCGGGCAAGGTCTGCTTCTCGGTAGTAATACAGTATAATGCATTAGTTTCGCTTAACAGAGTACACCTTTACCTGAAAATAAAAACTTGTTTTGTATTCACATTCAAATAAAATAAAATCACAATACATACGAGTTAGAACATGTTGTGTTACCAAGTTACCTTGGACCGCATATTGACTAACAGTAAATATGACTACCAAGTTAAAAATATTCATTATTGGAGTAATTTCTATTGCTGCAGTATGCCTTTTTGTAGGTGTTGGTTATATAGTATATCGATTTGGGACAGAAGCAGGTGGGTGACGGGACGAGTATAATTCTTGGTAATACGATTTTATAACGCTGACAAGTAGACGAATTAATATGTGACGTTCTTAAATTGGGATCATAAAGCTACCAGGAAAGGTCTAAGCATGATCGACTATCCTAATTAACTTTCATGTTGGGGATTGCACCAGAAGCCCACTCGATAGCAATGTTTTGGTTGATTTCGCCATTAATATGACATTCATATGAGATAGTATGAAATTGTTGTTATATCGATCGACCTACAGAAAAACAAATGTCAACACGGGAAAATGTTACATCAAGCACAGATGCTGCAATTACAACAGAAACATGGACAGAACCATCGTCAACCCATAACATGCACTTTTCCACAATGAAACCAACATCGGATAACCAAGGTAATTTGTCAATTAAATATTTAGGAATATAGTTTCACTATTATAATAATTATTAATGTTATTATTGATATAATACTCACTATGGTAATCAGTTCACTACATCTTTTTGTTATCCTCACAAATTGTTAACAATGTCAGGTCGACTTGTATAATATGGTGAATAGTAATTCGATTGACCAATTGGAACACTTGTTTTATGGGGTCATGTAATGTGTAGTTTGCTAAAACACAAGTATGTTTCAAACAGTGAGTAGATTTTGACTTTACGTATATCCCATAATATTAGCCACTGTGTCAGTATTCAGCCCAGTTACCTCAAATGAAGCTGATTAATTTGTTCATTCTAAAGATTCAATTCGTTCTATGAAAAAAGAACCACAGTGCTCGCTTTCCTTTATTTTATGGGTCACTTGTCTTTCCATGCCATTGTGAGCTAGTAATTTATTGCCTACATATTTGTAATATTACCTTCACCTAGAAAAGGTTATGTTTTTGTCAGCATTGTTTTGTTTGTTATAAAAGTTAAAAAGTTATAAAAGCGTCTTCAAACAAAAACTCTATGAGGTGTTCACCAAAGAAAGACCAATCAATTACAGTTGGATCTGATTGCCATGGAAATAATATATGCGAGAAAGATATATAACTCAAAGAGTGGGTTGCATCTTGACAAAGACCAACCGACCAAGGCTGCCATGAAGACAGTTTTAGGTGTGTTGGCTAATTATGTTTGCAAGATAACAACGGCAAGTGTTCCAGACTGTTCTTGAAATGAATGTGTTACTGTGATAACCGGAATGCTCTGTTTGGGTGGTACAAAAGGTCAGTGAGATTGTCGAGAACAGTTCATCAATCTGAGGGAAGTATACAAGAAAATCAGCAGTCGGCAGTGCAAGTCTGTTTTGAAATTTCTTTAATGATTGAAAGTTTACACAACATCGCCATTGTGTCTATTAGCAACTTATATTATCTTAGACTTATATTGGCGATGTTAACACCTCCCAAAACACTGTCAGTTTTTTTTACTGGGAATTTTAGCTTCTAAGTGGCTACTGACAGGCAATACGCTGCTGATTAGTGAAATGATTTTCAAATCGATTCCTAGAAGGAATAGTTTTTGAGATGGTATCAGCTTTTTTTGAAAATTTGGACTTTTGAGAACTTGACAGAGTCAGAAGAAATTGCCTGGGCCTGTTGGATTTCCGTTACCGAAATAGGACTAGTTTCATTTGTGTTTGGGACGAGCTGAAACATGCTGGTCACTGTGCCGGGGACATACTCCAGAAACTTTATCAACAAATTCAGACACTTTTCGGGGCATGAATGTAGGTTTAATAATTAACAGTAATGTTTCTCAATATCTTATACAAAATTGGTGGAAAATAATTCATGCCGCAACCCCAGACATCATATTACTGATAATATAGGGTAAAGAATTCATGTTAAGACTAATAAGAACTCAAACTCACCCCCCCCCCTCCTCCTTCGATATCGATCTGCCGGAAAATACTGTGGCCCAAAAATACTTATCTTGCCGGGATTATGACAGCACAATAATATAGCATGGAACTCTTAGATGAAGATAAATAGCCTGGGCATGGAGGTCTTTTTACCTCCATGGCCTGGGCAACTAGTCTATGACACTGAATCCATATAATTAATGACTTAATTACTGCTCTTTTCGAGCAATTCGCACAAGTTAATCACACACTTGAACATTCAAGTGGTAAGCTTCCAATACATGGCCAGCATTCGCAAAAACTACAAAAAAGTCATACAAGGCATGTACAAGGTATCAAAGCAATTGAGCTGGTAGTTTTAAAAAATGTTGGATGACAGACACTTTGCCATAACACTTCATTACGGGAAAGCCAAAAACAAAAATTATGCCTTATCTTTGTACCAAATTTGAACAAAACTGGTCAAGGCACAATGGATGGACATATACACACAAGCATGTATGGACAGATGAAAAGACGGAACCCAAAACATACAAATGTAAGTCCCTGTTTAGGAGCTTGTCAAACAAAGACTAACCAGTAAAAATATGACACTGCCAATAATGTTCTTAAAATCAACACTTTATTCAAATTGTTGAAAATAGAAATATTAAAAAACAATGTTGTAATACATTGCATATAATATTGTTTTTACAAAAACCATGACGAATGTACATATTAATGGAGCAATTTAAAAAAAAGGGCATCAGTTAAAATATCAAATTCACATTCCAACAATAAAACTGTACAATGGACGGCTGACCTGCAACACATTATTAATAAAACATGAAAACATTTCAGTTTTTTATTCATGCGGACATCATCGTGACATTCCACAAATGAAAGTGTACAAAACACAAAAGTGCAAAAACCAAAAAGAAAATACCAAGTTTGGAGCAAGAGGAAGAAAGCATGATCAGATATGACCTACATACTCATAGTGACACCATTATGAGCACAACAAGTCATGTATTCTTTACTCGGTTTTCAGTTTTCCTGGACTTGGTAAAGATATTATTGCAGCTGAATGGGTTTAATAAGAAACTCATTCGAATACAATCATAGGTGGCCATAAAAAAAAATTTATTAGATGTATATACATTGACTTTTTATATCTAATTAAATTTTATATTTAATTAAATTTATTAACAGAAGTGAACCAATCATTTCAACGCACAAGAGAACATTTTAAGTATATATTATTTACATATTTTGTGACGTGATGTTGATTCCACCAAAACCCATTCAGGGCGAAGAGGTTTTGAATCTGATGATGAAAAAAGAAATCATATACATGTGAGGCAGTATTCTACATTAATCAAAAAATCAGAAAGTATAAGATCATGTTTTAAAGTATATACAAGCTTGGTAATAGACACTGGATGGAAGACCTCATTTCAAGTTCATTGATATTCATTTGTATCCTTTATTTCTTCTTCTTTCCAGCACTCTTTTTGCCCTTTGCACTCTTTCGTCCTTTAGGTGACGGTGAACTCTTTTCCTGTTCTGCCTTCAGTGCTGCTTCTTGGGAGGCGATCTCTTCTAGTCGTTTCCGTTCAGCTTCCAGGAATTTCTGTCGGAATTCTTCCCTTGGTGTGTTGATTCCTTTTCTGGCTTTATCAAGTTTCTCCTGCAATCGAATCAAGTGTTAATGTTTAAGAGACTGAAAACCAAAAAGTTGGAGTTGCTTAACGACCCAAGATTGTTCTAAATTTTTAAATCAAATGAGGCATGTTTCACAGATGTACCATACATGTTACAACTAATGATGCAATATTTGTATTTGTTGACATAATCTTGATCATTTAACTAGCATTACATTGGTGTTCAAAACTAAGAACTACATGTACATCAGTACATATGTGGATAGGTAGGTAATTAAACTTGAGGGGAGGGATTGGAATGAGAGGGTGCCACGATCTGGATGGAACATTTTAAAGTCAGTAACGTGCAGGTCATCATTGAGGTAACAATTTTCTGTTTACGAATAGATGAATTATTTCTGTGATTTCTTTACAAAATATTACTAAAATACATTTATATACAGGTACTAAACTCGTGTTTATTGCAAAACAATATAGTTTATTTGCAGGAGAGAGTTCTATTGCATTCAAAATTGTTCCATTTCAAACTGTGCATACACACAAAGGGATTTCTTGAAATGCATACTAAATAGGTAACTTGTCACTGGTAACAGTTATTGAAAACATTATGTGCAATTTTGAGCAATAGTTCTAGCATGAGTGAAATATATATGGGTCTCTGCAATCTCCATCAATTTTCGTAACTTGCTATCATCACACTAATGAAAAAACCTGAGATGTGTGATACAACTCAAAATGTCCACAACTGAGCATTCACATATGTACAATGCATTGTGAGAAGAATTTTATATTAAATAAGAAAGTATTATCACACTAAAAGCTTGCTAAATCAACAAAAACAGCATCCTGATTACATTTGGAAATACCGTTGGGTTTCTGAAAGTTTTAAATTTCACAACTTTTAATAATAGTAATCCGGACGCTGTTATAACTTTTCCATCCTACGCCAACATCTAAAGATATGAACAAATAATTTCACCATGGAAACAATTTTTGCCATTTTCCAATGATATAAATTTTTCGGACTCTTGTTTCTCGAAAAATTTTCCAATAACTTCAATTTTGTTCCCATTTTTTTAGATTACAATGATCACATGATGTTCAATCACAAGCAAACTGCTTAAACATTACATGACATTTCCGTTTTAAAATTGAAAAAATGATTTGCTATCAATACCTGTAATTCTTCACACTCTTGTATCTGCATCTCCTTTGTTAAATTACGTCTCTTCCTGTCCTCTTCTCTCCAGGTAAGTACTTCTTCTCTGAATGCTTTGTACTGCTGTATGAGTTGTTCTTGTTCAGCGCGCTGTCTGTTCATTTCTTCATCATCAAGCAATCTTGGTTCACTTTCGGTAGATCTGACAATCATAGGGAATGTATTAATGAATAAAAACTAAGTGATATAATGGCAGGTGTTAACATAACCAGTGTTTAACCACCCTTCAACACTAGGACATAAGTTCATGCAACTCTCACCTTATAAATGGTGTTTTGTCAATGACTTGTAAAATTTCTTTAGGTGCAGGAGGCGGAGGCGGTTCATTTAATAGTATCACATCAGCTGGATTTTCGTCAATTTCAGATGCAGGCGTTTTCGGTGGCCCTTCAATTGTTGGCTCAGTTGGCTCCGTTGGTTCGTCATCTTCAGGCTGAGTTTTTATCATACGTTCTGCTAGGAACTTTGCCCTAGATGCCTGTGCCTTCAGGGCTCGGCCAGGTTCAGCTGCTTCCCATGCTTGTTTCATTGCACGGATTTCATCTTGTCTTTCAGTGTCTTTTTTTATTTCAATTTCCTCCTGTAAAATATAATAAAAGTGTTCAGGAAAAAAAAGACAATAATAAACATTTAACCAAGGTAACAAATAATTTCACTTCATATTTTTTTTTATTTTCTGATCAATTAATTACCATATAACAATATAATTACTTCATCAAAAGTAAGTTTGACTGTTGAAATGAAAATGATCTCTAGTTAACACTCACTGTAGGTGTCTGGTCTAATACAACCCTCAAAGTCCAGTTAGGTTTTGAGATGTCAAATTGTTGAGAAGGAGGTCTTGATGTTGATAATTTATCCCGTTCCTTTTCTTTACCCTTATCTTTTCCTTTCTTTCCACCGCCGCCACCTTTCGGCACTGTGGTAGCTGCTTTATCACTTTTTGGTGCTGAGGTTGGTCGATCTTTGATGGCTTTGAGCTCGCTCTTTTCAAGATCCTTCAGCACTTGTACAAAGGCCCAGCTACTTTCTGATAGAGGCCAACTCTTCCTCAAGACTTTGGCCTGGATGATGTATTTGTGTGGCTGATCAAAGAAGAACATACATGTTGATGAAAACAAACTAAAACACAAAGAACTAGATCAAATCATTTAACACAAATTAATAGTCCCCACCTCCACCACCACCACAGGGCTCAAAATTAAAACTGGTTGTCCATCTGATAATGAAAATGTCCATACAAAATAAATGCTACATTTTGTTTCACAATATTATTTATTGTTTTATTACTTGTTTTAACAATACCTGTCATAATAATACAACTCAATCTGTGTCAGATAAACATGCAAAACTATTTGGAAATGTTTTTCTTCAGCAAAAATATAGGTAATAATAATGAAACAGGAAAAATGTACTGTAAATTGTCATTGTTGTACCAATGGCCAACTACATGTAGTTTTCACTGATGGCTGTCCCATGCAAAGAGACAATTGTTAATTTCGAGCCCTGCACCACCCCTAAAGGCATAAGGATGACATTTCATTTTGAATACTCAAGTTGCACAATTTAAAACTTCAATGAATGGTTTTGATAAGTGATCATCCATCAATGAAAAGATGTTTCTGAAAGGATGTTCTATAACCATAATTATGAATATCCACACAATAGATTCAAATTTGAAAAATATCGCTTTTATGTATTCACATGATTTATGATCTCAGGAACACTCCCTTGCTTAAAAGTTCAACTTTTAATAAGTATGAGAATGTATGATTGTAAATTCTTAATATTCAATAAAGGGTAACTCTGGCCCTGATATCAACATGCCAAATATAGGTACACCCATGTCACAACAAGCCAAGCATGGCACAATCCCCGTTAGTCATCAAATTTAAGATATATAGTTTTGTTTATAGTAATATAGCTGGAATATAACCATGTCAGGAATATGATTTTTTAACATTAAAATGATTGACATTTGTATCTGATCGTCAAACAAGTACTTGTCCATATTACAGCAGTCAAAATCAGCCATTTTGAATACATGTATGTATATAACATGATGTATAACAAATATATAAAATTTGAATATAATCAGTCAAAACAAGTCAGACATATGGGTCTGGAAACCCATTCATTAAAACAAAATGGCCGCCAGACAGCCATTTTGAATCTGATCTGAAAAATAAAATGATGTGCATCAGGAACCCGCAATGTCTAATGTATGTTATAAGTTTGAACAAAACCCATCCACAAATGCCAGAAATGCTTGATATTTGATGATTTTTTAGCACAAAAATGGCCACCATTTGGCCATTTCGAATA